TACTATTTATCCAAGTTTTCTAACAATTCTAAAAAAAATTATTGAATTATCCAAAGAACAAAAATTTTATACCAGATTTTTTTCTTAATTACACAAATTCATTATCGTGTCTCATTGGTTGCAACCATTTTGTATCTTTTTTTTTCATTTTAATTGCACAGTTTCGCTAAAATCGACAAATAATTATACTGAATTTGTTTCTTCTTTATCTTTTATTTAATGGAACGCAGCAACTCGTTGCGCAATATAGAAATAGTGGCTTTACAAAACATTGCCGCAGGAAAACGTAAGATATCAATCGTCTACCGGCGGCATTCACGAGCTTATTAGAAAAATTAGCAGTTTTTTTGTTTTTTCTTTTTAATGATAATAATTATTTTATAGGATCATTGTGTATATGTGTAGCACAAGCGAAAAATAGATTATATATGTTGTATATGCTGTCTTTTCTCACGTCCTGTGCTCAGATTTTCTATAGCTTATATTTTTTTTCTTCCACACATTTTTCTTCTTTAGTTTTCTTCGCTTTTTCTTACTTTTCTTTTTTCCCTTTTCACTATTTCTTTCTATTGTCTTTTCCTTTCTTTTATTTTTCTTTCTCTCTCGTCTATTCATAATTTTTATTTAATTCTGAATAAGGCGATGGACTTAACTTCTCTTAACGCTTATGAACTTAATAAATGTTTTATTTGTGTGAAAACGTGCCAGGTGGTTCTTAGCATAACTCGGGGCAACTCGGCAGGATATTTGTGAGCTAGTACCGTTTTAAGAGTATAGTATTCTTTTTTCTGGTATGTTTATACACCACTAAATGTATTCTGTAGTAATTCGCTTATTACTTCTCGCTTGTTCCTCCTTTTCTTTCTTTCTCTTTTTAAAATACGTACAAACGGAGATACAGAATCATATATAATATAATATATAATATATATTTAATGTATCGCGAAGGAAACGTGGCGCGCGTTCGTGACCCACCCACCCACACCCACACACACACACACACACACACACACACACACACACACACACACACACACACACACACGCACACACACTTATTGATTATTATTAATATATTCTCATTAGTTTTTATTACTCGTTACTCGTTATTACTATTTTTAATTATTACTTAATTTTACTTATTAATTAGTTTATTAATAACATGAATGTTTACTGCCGATTTTTTTATTCTTCTTTGCCTTTTCTTGCATCTCGTTCATTTTGCGATTGCGATCTCAATGCATCACAAAGTGTTCACACAAAAACACACACACACACACACACACATTCTCTCTCTCTCTCTCTCTCTCTCTCTCTCTCTCTCTCTCTCTTCCTTCCTTCCTTTTTAACTTACATCAATTTTCGCATTTTTCATTTATCTTTTTCCGTTTTTCGGAAAAATTTTGAAAGTGATTGTATGAAGTCGATACGATAATATATCCTTTCTTCATTAAATTACGTTAGTATAGTTAAGCTTCACACAGCCAAAAAATGAAAAGCACTTAAAACAGTGCTCAACACTATATAAACAAGTCCTTGATCAATAATTAATTGATTTAATTAATTCACAAAACGAATTCTGATCAACTAGAATGGCAGGGATGGCCGCTATCGTATGCCGCCTTCGCGTTACAAATTCTTTATATATTTTTTGGTTTCTTTAGATTTAGCCTACTAAATAGCTTATTTGCAAGCCATTCTTGTGTGTCGTGTATGTCATTGTGTGTATGCATGTATATGTTGCGTATGTATATGTATATATAATAACATTAGTACTTTCTACTCTTCACGAATTATTTCTTTTCTCTTCATCAAGCGCGATGTGTTTTCTTTTTCCCTGCGATTTATCTGCCCCGTGTTTTCTCCTGGCATCTGTTACATATACATATCTCAATATACATATATGTATGTATATGTATATATATATATATATATATTTTTTTTTTATATCACACATGTACATGATATATAGGGTATTTCGTTAAATTTGAGAGCCGGTAGCAGGCATTTATTCCACGATGAATTTAGAAATGTGAATTTGACTGTTCTTCGGAAAAAAATACCAATATCTAATTATGGAACTGTTAAATAAAGATATTTCAGCGAATCAAATTTGAATAGAACAAATTCAATACAATACTTAATAAGTTATTTAAACTTGTGAAAGCTGTGATAAAAATAGCGGTCTCAAAAATTTTCAAATAAATTCAACTATATACACATATTCATCAAAGAATATAATTTTGCTACTGATTTCCGTTTTACGATTTACCCTGTATATGATATATCTACATGCATTTACACATAATACTCATCGCGGCATAAATCAATCGTCGAAAACGTTATCCGAGTGATAACAAACATTCGCTTTAATTCTTATACTATATTATTTTCAGCATCTTTAATATGTTTAACCCATATAATATCTAAATATATCACTTGAAAGCGATCGTCTCGATCTACGAGCGCTCGCACTTGCTTTTTATTTCTCATTTTCATTAATTTTTTTAAATATGTTCTCCTTTTGTGTTCTTCTTTTTATACGAGCGGCATACGAGCATCTTTCACGCCATAAAACTCTTATCTCTTTTAAATGCGCAGGAATTTATTACGATTGATCCTACTTCCGCATATCGATCCTATATCCGTAATACAATCTGCATTCGTTATTATTATTTTTACGTGATATTATATGATTAACTTTAGCAGTTTATTGCTATTTTAGTTCGATAATGTTGATCGCGTAAGTAACGTTAATCGAATAAGAAAGGATCGATCGTAACAATCCAGAGAGGAGCTAGAAAGGACGGGGGATGCTCGAGAGTGGTGCCGGCACTCTAACCTGCTTTTAATTTATTTGCTTTATCTTCGTGGAATAATAATATCCGTAATATCTTGCCCAGCCTGATTACCATATGTATTATTTTATTATTACTATTATTACTATTCGTTATTCTTTTTGTTACTCAAGAATTCAACGGTGCGCCGATTACCTCCTCTTCGCATCTCTTTCTTGTATTAATTAATTAATAGCGACGAATTATCTCATTCTATAGCGACAGCGGAATATAATTTTAGCTTCATAGCGAGACTAGTTTTTTTCTTTTTTAAATTTTTATTTAGTTATTTCGGAATGCATCTTCGACTCGCATAATTCATCATCAATAAGTTTTTCTTCCTCTCACGCATTCTCATGCATACAGTACATTCTTTCTCTCTCCATCTCTTTGTATTTACACGTTCATTCATGCTCCTTGTCCTGTTTTTTTTTATCTTTTTCTTGAATCATTGGTGGAAGAGACGCTTTGATAATTTATAATAATCGTTTTGTCAATTCTTAAGGAACTGTAAAAAGGATCATAAAAAAAGTGTTCCGTTTCCTCTTCCTTCGGGACAAAATAGAAGTGACTTAATTTTATTTAAAAAAAGCATCGGTGACTATTTTCATTCACTCATTCAATGCCATTTGTAAAACGTCAAAGCTATTTTCATTGTCAGTGCATGAATTGAATGTCGAAAATTACGTTACCATTGTCTTGTTTGTTTTTTCTCCTTTCTTTTGCATAATTAAAACTATATACACATGACATAATGGAAGTTCAATGAATTTTCGGGCATTCGCTTTAGTATGACGATTTTATATTTAAAGAAGAATTTTATATTTAAAACAATTTTGAAATTACTAACTAAATCCAATTTCAATATCTCGAATAATTTCTCAAATTACGAATTAATAATTTTAATGTTATAAATTTTTAAAACAATACAACTGTTATCTTATATTTTCATTCTTTTTTTAATTTGTTTCAAAAATAAGTCAAATAAAGTAAACGTTAAAAATTATGTATTATTATTTGAAAATAATTTCTGAGAAACTTTGATAAGAGTAATTTTCAAAAAATAAGATAAATGAGACAAGAAATCTATTCTTTGAAAGCTCGTCACAAAATTTTCCATCCTTTCAGCCTTTCGCTTTTTTTTAGGCTACGAAAGTTTGTCGATGGAAATCGAACGAAAGAACAATGCATCTGATGCTTTATAATATTTTTTCTATTTGACAACTTTTCGTGTTGGTTCAATCGACTTGTGCAACCGTATACAAGACTTGATCGAGCCTACTTGGAATTTTGATAAGAATATTATTGATAATTTCGACGCAACAACAACGATGATGTAGTTCACCATCTAATGGCTACCTTTATGTATTCTAATGGCTACTGGCTGCCTAACGAAATAGTTGTTTTCTAAATGCTTCATCGTAGCATGGTTTTTTTGTTAATAGCAGCAGTAGTTGTAATAGTAGTAGTAATTAGTAGTTAATAATGTAAGTAGTAGTGATAAGTAATAGTAGTAGTAATAATAATAGTAGTGGTTGCAGTAGTGATAGTAGTAAGAATAATAGTAGTAGTAATAAATTTATGTTTATGAAACATTTTTACTCTCTTGCTCTTGTTTTCAAGCATTTCCTTTCTCTTATTATTTTACTTTCTTTATCTAGGCTGATAGTTTGATGTATAATTTTTTTATATATTTTTTTTAATTACTTCTATTATGTCTTTTCTCGGACTAAATCAGCGACGCGCGAAAGGTTTGAATACTGTATTGAAAGCGTGAAACGTAAATCTTTGTATAATTATTGTATGTATTGTATGTATCAATAATATGTGTAATTTATTTCTCTCTGTCTTGTTCTCTTCTCATACACACATATACACACAACGCGCACGCATGCACGCACACAAACACACGCGCGCGCGCACACACACACACGCACACGCACGCACGCACGCACCACACACACACACACACACACACACACACACTTACGTACGCGCGCACACATATCCGTTCTCTATCTTTCTACCTCTTTTGCAATCTCTATCACTGCGCGGACTAAAATTTCATTATCAATATTGTGTCTATTAAAAGACGAGATCAGTCATCTGTTAAATCCACTTCTAAAATTACCTAATAAAATCGAAATAATTGTTTCCTCTTTCTTTTTTCTCTTTGAATTAGTTACTTGTTTCGTCGTTTTCCACGTGATCCTATTGATTGCTCGTCTGAAACGGCTGATACACAATGAAATAGAAGAACAACCAATATAAATTAGTATCAGCAAACATTAATAAATACATTAAATAAAAAATGAAAAATCAATATCCATAATCAATACAATAGCCTTATACTCCTTTTTTATCAATTACAATGTAAAACTATTTTTGGTCTAAAAAATGAAGATTGTTAATAACATCTGACTTTTCAATCATGTTACTTTTCTAATTAAATGCCTCTTCTAAACATTTCGCTAATTTTCACATTATAAAAGATAATTATGATACTGAGATTATTTCATTCACTTAACCGTTCGATAGCAACTATTTTTTCGTGTGTTACGAATACTACTGCGAATAAAGAAAACAACTTTATTCTTTAAGTTAATATTGGCTAATTTTTTAAATTCTTGCCCCTATATTTTATTTGAACTCTTCATTATGTATCAGCCTCAAATTTCATACCTTGCATCTTTTCTATTCTAAATAAAAATAGTTAACTTTTTCAATGCAAATTGAATACAATAATTGAAATCAAATTCTTATCTCTGCAATTTTTAATTAGCTTTCTACTATCTTCCTACTATCAATAAAGTTTAATTTTTTGACAATCAACCAAAAATATAATTAACATGTGGTAAAGGAATACTGAAAAAGTTTATGTGAGCTTTGTTCTTTTTCTTTTTAAACAAATCAAACAGCTGTCAAAAATTGATAACTTTGAGAAATAGAATAATGACTTTGCATTATTATCTCTTTTGTGAAAATTCCTCTCTTGTATTCTTGAACTCTATGCGAGCGAAGATACGTCCCATGTGTCGACTTGGAATTTAGATCGAATCAGCATATCGAAGATCGATCGATTTAACTCCGTAAAATATACTTGGGGTTATTCCTTGACGCGATATAAATCGAGAGATGTGAAATGGCAGTCTTGGCAATTCTGTGACGTACTTTCGTCGTACGAAAATAAGACGAACAGAAAACTCTCTGTGAGATTAAGTGCGAGGATCGATTGGCATGCCAATTCGTTCTTCAGACAATAGCTTATCTCAATATCACATGTCTTCCTCTTCCTTTTTGACACAAATTACATTTGTATTTAACTTATAGCTCGAAACAACAGCTTCTTTATCTTTGTCATCAAAATAACATAGGCAATATTGTTTTTTTAACAAATTAGAAACCACTTTAGAAAAAAAAAATTAATTCAATAAAAAATGTACTTATAAAAGAGGAAGAGGAAAACTATAAGAGCTATATAAGCTTTCTCCCAACATTTTACAAGTTTCTATTCTTCATTATCAAAGAGATACTCTGATAGCTTAATTATCATCAAAAATTATTTTCATAAGAAATCACATAGTGATTCTTCCATCTTTGAGCTTTAATAAAGACGAAGAATGTGATATATGAATTATTATTAACATACATATTTCAAACTTGGGCATGCTAATTATCATCATCATTATTTTCTGCAAGCAATCATTCACGACTTTCAGGAAATCGTTATCGCATATATTGAAGACAAAAATATCAAATTACACATTTGAGAGATTAAAATTATGATTTCGACATAAAATTCGCGTGCCATCGGCAGACATCTTCGGTTTTATTTTTTTTTTTTTTGGACGTTTCTTATCGTTACAATTGCCCGCATTGTCTTGGTATTCATATTTGATTTATTGTATAATATCTCGAAGAATTCGCTATTCAGACGAATATGTACACCCCCGTCACTTAATACTGAATATGTAATTTCTGCTACCCTTCGATTTGGACATATTTAAGCGTAAAGATAACTTCGAATGAGCGAATAGATATCTTTTTCGTATGATAAGAGTTTTAAACACAAACATAATATAAAATTGTGTAATTTCAACATTGGCAAATAATCTTCATGAAAAATGCAATCTGCATATTACAATTTTACGGTAGTAATTTTAAGCAGCGGGGGTGCAATTCAGAATTGCTAGAGTAATTTTTCACACGTGGATATCATAAAAATGATTTGTGTCATAATTTCTGCAAATATCTGATTATGGTTATCATTAATCAATAATCTGAAATTTATCTATCTTTTGTTTTTAAGAAATAATTCAATTTCATCAATCAATGTTGACATTATCATTTTATCAGTATTTAAATGTGTTACATGTGCAAGTGCGCGAATGTAACAAAACAAAAAAAAATAAATCCCATTGTTGAATAACATATCATAGTGGCAAATAGATTCGAAAATTGGCTTATTTATATTTTTTGTTTAAAAAAAGAAAAAAAAGAGGAACAGAACAACTACACCGTACACACACTCCATTTTTTTTCTTCCTCTTTTCCTCTTGCCTCCTTCCCCCCTCTCTCTCTCTCTCTCTCTCTCTCTTCCCCTTTCCCTCCGTATCTGTGGTCATCATCGTTCAATTCTTCATTCTTGCATCTTTTACAAGATTCTTATCACTTTCTTGTTTCCGCAAGCATCATTTTCTAAATGTCCTCACATTCGCGATTAACCAAAACGCACTTTGTTAATTTACCCTCGCGCTCTACGTGTACGGTATTCAATTAATTTATATCGATAATTATTAATATAGTATTATCTGGTACGATTCCCATTTGTTGCTTCCGCTACTCACCGGCTCCTCCTTCTCTATTTCACCCGTCTGGTATTCTGAAAAGCGAAGGAGCCCGTAAGGACGGAGGGACACTCGCAAACGCTTATAACGAAATCGCCGTGATGTTTCTTCGATATCATTTGTTATATCTTTATTTTTTGTTTTTTGAACACTGGAGTCGGTGGTGTCGGGGGTTGGGCCGCACGCGTGCGCGCTTGCACGCGGACGAGGAATATCCCGTCCCCTTCGTTCGCACATGGGTCCTTACGCGGGGCGCAAGCTTATTGAGAAGGTAGTGGGGAAGGCGCGGCGACGATGTCTCGAGAACAGGATTATAGATTCATCGCCATCTTCAACTCTTCACACACCCTTGAACCCACCCCACTCTCTTCTGTTTCTCGCAATGTCTCAGATGGAAAAAGTTATCCAATCGATTCCCCGAAGGATCATGATCCCTGTCATGATCTTTCGAGTGATTTGATCTGAGACTCCCCTCGCAATGACGGACCTGGACAGGCTGACAAGTGATGCCAACCACTTACGACTATGATGACGGGTGAAGGAGGCCTACGTCAGGCACCGCAGGGAGATGCAGTTGCCCTTTGACAACCGGTTTAATAACGGCCACCACGCTGCCACCGTCTCCTTCACTATAATTATATAATTGATCCATGATAGGAAATAAGAATATCGGTTAAATATAATGTAGATATTATTAAATTTATAATGCGTACCTAGTAGTCAGACGTCAGTCTCGATGCTTATGCAGGCTGGATTGATATTGTTATTGTGACGAGGATTGCAATTTGACTTCTTCGTAATCTCCGGATGAGTAAACAGGGTGCCTTCTTCTAACTCCATTATATCCGACGAAGATTCCGACATCGAAATCTTCTTCAAACCTGAAAGATATACACACGTATTTCAATAAAAATTTCCATTCATTTTTTATCTCTGATATCTGAATATCAAAATCTATTCTCAACAATTTGTAAATTTACAATATATATCTAGTAAGTTTCAAAACTGACTTCATATATAAATACTCTGGCGTACCTAAAGTGCCAGGAAGATACGGGCAACTAGTCACGTGATTGAAGTTCTGCGATTGCATCTCTTCCTGGTCAGTCTCACGATGATAAAAGTAGTTGAAATTGGAGACGATTACGGGAACGGGTAGAGCAATCGTCAAAACACCGGCGATTGCACACAACGAGCCCACAATTTTCCCCCAAACTCCGACGGGCCTGCAACAGAATAGCGAGAAATACTGCATCAAATATCAAGTATTTAATGCGGCGACTTAGGATCATGATCGCAAAATTCGGCTTGGTGCTAGGTGTGGTGTTTCTATCTTTGTGTGAGTCTGCCGTGTTTAGTGTGACGCTACTTATGCGGTACTGGTGGCAGTAGTTACATGACAATCCGCGTGCGTTGGCGGAATGTTAAATGAAGTAGACGTATGCTGTGAAATATGCATATATTGCATATCAATTGTATCATATACGATTCACTTGTATATATTTCACCCCACTGATAAACCTGTATTAAAAGAGATCATCTCCTCATTGTCAGTATGTAACGTTTTGACAACTTACATCTTCGATTTTGCATTCTGCCAACGTCATCTCAGACAGCACGATGTTCAAAATCGACATATAAGATGTCTTATGATATCTAAGAGACGTTTTAAGACTTCTTACGTCTCGATTTTGAACATTGTGTTGTCTGGGATACGATTATCCAATACGTCTTTGATCGTATATAAATATAGCATGATGCATTTAGTATAAGCGAGCAGCCTAGACTAGACTAGAAAACTAACGTAAGAACTCGCCAAAATGATCTCTTCATAATATACCACAAGTTCATTGGAAAATGAACATTATATTAGTGACTAATATAATGAGCCAACTATTTCATTCCATTGGAATTTACACACTGACTCCGATTGGTCAATTTATATTCGGTTTGCATTGCATGTGATTACACTAGTAAGATCAGAACAATTCGATATGCCAATGATGCACGTGAATAGAAACGGGCACTTGACTGAATCGGCTTTAAATTTTCAAGGAAGAACAAAACAATCGAGTATTCATCTTCTCTTTTGCTGACATTTGCAAAATGTGATAGAATAATGACTCGTTTTGTAACGAAAAAGCATGAAAAATTATGTCTCTTTATTAGCTGAATAAAAATAACTCAATACTTTGAAATCATCTGAATATGTAATATTATAAAAACTGCGTTATTTAATTATTTTGTCAATACTTTATATATTGTAGTATGTAATTTATAAAGAGTTTATAAAGATGTACAAAACAACTTGCCAGTATCTATACAATACTAATTGTATCAATACTAATGGATTGAATAAGTAAATCAAATAAATATTATATGAATTCCAAAAAAAAAGAAATTGTTTTCGCAAGATATTCGTATTGGTCATGAACCTTTATGATGCACGACCAACAGACCTAATATTGATCATATTAATGGAAATTTATAGAGAAAAAAATTGGGTCGAGCAAAAAAGTAACTTTTAAAATAACTGTAATGATAAATAGAATGACTATATTGTAATGATAATAGTTTTGGCAATCGCATGCTAGGCAATCGTCAGGCGAGGACGCATGCATTAGTTTAGTCCTTTTCGTAAAAAAAATTTTGTAAAATTAAAATACTTGGAAAATTACTTCATAAGCACACGCAAGAAAGAATCAAGTTATAAAATTGAGAAAGAAATACGAATGAAATGCGAATGAATTGAAAATCAAAAATGTGAATAATATTAAGAATCTTTCTAGATATGTTTTACATAAATGTGTGTGAATCGATCAATTCAATAAGTCGGAGTTCACACGGTCCAAAGTAATAATTTTTTCGATCAAATAACGTACAAAGATGTAATGTAAAATATCTCTCGTCATCATTTCGACATGTCAAGCAATATAAATATTTTTCATTTCGCTTAGAATATATCTAATTGTAAGTAAAGATAAGAAAAATGAAGTTGGATTTTATATTTGTCTATCAAGTTCTATTTAGAGAATCACAGTCTTTGCTCATTGTCAGGAGAGATTTTCCTTTAAATGATATACTCGCTGTTCCAAAAACTTGCACGTTGATAAATAGTATCATGCGTGAGCCATGCGGGTTCATATTATTCTGCGATTAATGGGCCAAACAGCAGTTGCTTCTGCGCAAAATCGATTACGCCCCGTTGTTTGCGTCATCAAAATATTTGCAAAGTATTACAAAGTAAACAAAAAATATCTCAGATTGGTCGTTGCATGCCTTGATTTTTCTATATACCTTGATATTTTTAATAATGAAATTAATCACTAACAATCGTAATATTAACATCTAAATTTTCTCTGTACACATTTTCTATTTTATTATATTATTCATTATTTCTTTTTTTTATTTAAAAAATTTAATTTCCTCATTAACTTGCGAGATAAATCTGTTTCAAGATAAAATTTCTTATTTATTAATTATTAATACTCAGCATTACGACACTATATTACGGACAACAATTGACAACATACAAAGGATTAGAATCATAGTATTGCAAACAATATTGGCCATTTATAGTGCGAGTTCATCAAACTACATCGCGGAGGTCATCGGAAGTGGAATAGCCGCAGCTACCTGGACACCTCACGGCCGCGCATTTTGCAGGTATGTATCGATCGATACGCAAGAAGCGTAGTATGATGGCTTCGAATCTCTGCATGATTTTTTTCTTTCGCTCCAAAGCGGTTTCAAAAGTGTCTAAGAACACTTATTGATTTACGAGAGGCAATGTTCGAGAGGCCTTCTATGCCGCAACACATCGGAAATTCTTTTCAAGAGAGGAAAGTCGAGAGAGTCGAAAGATTTCATTTAATCATCCAAGAATGAAAAAAGGTGAATTTGCTGCTTAATATTTGAATAAAAATAACTCTAACTAGTCATACTTCATATTTTTAACTATAAAATTTTTAATTACAAAATATAGAATTGATTAAAACTTTGTTTTTTTTTAAACCTATGTTTCAAAATTTAAAACTTAAACAATATTTCCGTTACGATTCCAGCATTAAGTAAGTAGATATCAAGGATACTTTTGAACTATACACTGGCATACAATTTGATACAATTCTCAAGAGCTATGTTTGAGCAAATGGCAAAATGTATAATGCGCGGGAGAAACAGTAGGCATCGTCAAAATTTTTACGAGCGTCAAAATTGGTTGATGTGAACTGAGCTACACTAATTTTATACATTCATACGTTCGCGCGAAATGCCGAGTAAACTACTACATAATAGCTCTACGAAATTCAGGGATACGAATATATAGATTGTTTCGATGACGCATTTTGTATGAATTTAGAGTAAATTAATTTTTTAACAAAAGTCTGATTCTTTTACAACATAAGAAAGTGTAACTAGACAAAAGTAAAAGTATTGTGAAATGTAATATGTTTATTAAAGTGCAATGAAAACATGTAATTATAAATTGATAATTAGAAAATGACGTAATAAAGCAGTTTTTGTTCGCAGTATTTAAAGTCTTCTAATCAGGATTGAGCAACAATATAATATTATATATATATATATATATATATATATATACACATATATATATGTATAAGATGAGTTTCATATAAAGTGCCTCTACCAAATTTTATAATAATAATGCTTATGAAATATGATAAAAAAAATTATAAAATCCGAAATATGTTAAAGATCTTTAATAAAAAGCATTATATGTGTATGAGTGAAAGGATGCAATACATAAGACAAATATCAGTTATTTAATTAATGAGTGCGCCAATAAAATCAAGAAGAATTAGAAAACTATATAGTTTTAATTATTTTAATCAAATGGAAAAATAGCTGATATTCATGTGTAAAAGCTTTAAGGAGTTAGGCCACCTTTGAGGTCTTAAAAAGTACCTAAGTTGAGATTTTTTGTGAGTAAATAGATAACTTTATTAAAAATTTATTTAGAGGATATTATAGTATATATATAAGAAAACAAAAAAATTTTTTTTTTATTTATTTTATGTCCAAAATGACGACGCTACTTGCGGAATCCTTTTTTCTGTATTTTCAAATCGGTGTACAAGATTCCAGGCACACGGTTTGTCCTTGAACAAAATACAAAGAATTTTCATTATCTACATATTAAAGACTAATGAAGTACGTAGGCTGTCTCTTATACACATCTCT